CCAAACGGTTTACAAATTAAATCTTTAGAACATTCAAACTTCCTGAAGATTTCTGTTAATTGCCTTTAACCCTCTTGATTTTTCTTAAATGTATTGCTCTTCGGGAAAAAAAAACTACAACAGTTGTTGGATGTTAAATATTTATAAACAGTTAAATATTTGTAAATATTATGCTATTTTCGTCACAGATCAGCTTGATTTAAGAAGTTTTACAGTAAATTGAGAAAAAAATAAGCATTGCCAATTTACCATGTTTCTGTAGCTCAGTGGAATTTCAGTGGAATTCATTTCATCATTAGTCATTTTTCTGAGCGGCCTCAATTATTTTGAAATATATATTCAGTTATTTGTTTATTTGGAAATGGTTACAGTAATAAAACCGTGTTAATGTAAAACAATACAGTTTACAATGTATACAATGTACAATTTAGAAAAATTGAAGTATTCTACAAAAAAAAAAATGTCAGGAAAAGAGAATACAGTTGACTAGACTATGAGGTTCACTTTAAAGATACATATCAAAGAATAAAGCACTCAGTCTAAATTTGTATAAGTTCAAAATGTATTAATATATAAATATAGCAATTCCTAAAAGAAACATGAATTTAATTGATGTAAAAGGAATAATTCACCTCGAAAATGTCAAATGTGTCATCATTTACTCACCCTCATTTCATTCCAAACCTGTATATGTTTCTTTCTTATGTTGAACACAAAAGAAGATATTTTGAAGAATTTTGAAGAACCAAACACTTGTTGGTCCCCATTGACTTCCATATTAGGGAAAGAAATACTATGGAAGTCAATGGGGACCATCAACTGTTTGATTACCAGAATTCTTCAAAATATCTTCGTTTATGTTCAACATAAGAAAGAAACTCATACAGGTTTGGAATCACATGAGGGTGAGCAAATGATGACAGAATTAAAATTTTTGAGGTGAACTATTCCTTTAAGAAAAACATTTTTAAATATATTTTTCACCTTTGTTCTTTATTTTTTAATCTTTTTCTTATTTTATGTTAAAATAAAAAATAATGTGGAAAATATTCCATTGTTACAACATAATGGATACCACAGTAGGTTATAAGAATATACTTGATTTAAAGAGATTTTGTGTGCACTGACAGTAGGGATGGTCCCCCTGGAGCACCTTAAGGTTAAGGGCCTTTCTCAAGGGCATTGAGCGAGAAGATGATCTCAGTAACTCTCCAGGGCCCCTCCTAGTTTGCGATTAAACCTTTGAGCCTTTGTGTTCATAGCCTGAATCCTCGCTGGTTAGAAATTCTAGGCTTGTTCAATGACTGACACTCCCGAACAGAACTTAGAGATGCTGCAGAAAGTCTTCCGTCGTCCATTACTGCACAAATCGCATTTATTTCGCCTCTCATCATCCATCAAAGCATAGGTGCTTTCATCTGGCAGTGTCTCTTTGTACCTGTAATTAGTTTTGGGACAGGAGATCGACTCTGTTAAAACAGCATAAAAAGAGAATAAAGAGGTTTGAGTTTTCTTGTCATGGCTGCTCAGGAGCTCTGCCTAATAATGGCTGATAGATTCGTTCTGTCAGGCTATAGAGAGAAAACGCTAGTCTGGCATGTTTATGACATTACCTCAGAGCAGGACCAGGGCTGGAGTCAGCCGCTCGCGGCCGAAAGGGCTTTATTATGTGTCCTGAAGTCACACGGATGGCTTTGTGGCTCGGACTACAAAATAGATGTAACCCAGCAAACAAAAATACTAGTTCCAGTCAAGCCAGTTAAGTTATGAAAACATTCTTTCTGAATGTTCTCTGAACGAAATGTCCATTATAGTATTTTAAAAACTTTTTTTAAATTGGTCAACTATGCAGGAATATTGAAAAAATGAATTCATAAAAAATGATGTAGAAAGAATATTCTAGAAATTGCTAGTACAATTAATTTTACAATCAATTACAAAGAAACAGCAAGTAACACATTTAATTAAACATAGAATTTTTAGACAGAAATATATTTTCTTGTAGAACATACTCCAGTAATTTTTGTTTTATTTATAACTTCGAAAAAATGTTTGTTATTTGATTGTTTTTACAGTAAAATTGCTTACAGTGTTAAATTGTTTAAAAAAAAACAGAACATTATTTATAACCATGTAACTCTGAATGAATGTTCTATTAACGTCACTGAAAGAAAATGTATTTATTTATTTATTCATTGATTTACATTTTCTGATGTGCTACAGGGTTGCAAAATGGCAATGTTTTTCACCTTATTTGTTTTCTTTTTTAATATTCATTTTATGTAAAAATGTAAAAAAAAAAAAATTTTGGACAATTTTCCATTGATAGAACATAATGGTTACTAGAAGTTTACAACAGTATACTTTTTATCTAAAGAGATTTTGTGTGCATTGATGAACATGAATAAAACTTTGAAAGAACCTTACTAGAACATTAGTCAAAATTCTGAGAATGTTAGCTTCCTGATTTGAGTTGTGTTTTAGCTGATGATAGACTATAGCAGAGAGTTTCAAATGCAACATCGCCCGCAGGTGACTGATAGTGTGGAGCAGCTGTCTAACAGGCAGTCTTGTTCATCTGCAAGCTGGCGGTTAGAAAGAATATGTCCCTCCTAACCACATTACACCAACAAAATGACAGTACGTGTGTGTGATGTCATGTACCTGTATGTGTGCAGCTCTTCTCACCTTTGAAAAATGATAGTATCAGCTTCTTAGTTTTCATTCAGAAACTCATTTCTAATGCATTCTAATGCAATACACTACAATGGCCTAATAACCAGCGAATCTGATCTCTCTCAGAGATGGACGTGCGAGGAGGAGGGAGAATCCAGGATGAATGAGAGAAGGAAGGGAGGGCTGAGAGAGAGAGAGAGCAGGGGCGCGGGCAGATGGTCGGGCTGGTGTGGAGTCTTGCTTCGGTGGAAATCCCTGAGTGCTTAACCCCTCCTCCACTAGGGAGAGATGTGTCATGACAACAGTTCCCCCCTCCCTGCGGCAGATCCTCAGTGCTATCCAATCCAGGCCTCCAGAGGAGAAGAAACAGCTCTGTCAGTCTGCCTCCGCAATACTACTCACATCTGCCTTGTTTTATGCAGGTTCAGATAGATAGATAGATAGATAGAATAACTTAGTCAGGGGATTAAAAAAAGGATGTTTGGAATATTGACCTGAATATCGAAACAAAGCTCGTCTCTTTCTGTTAGAGCCACTGCTGCCCTCTACTGGCTGATTGCAGTCATGACATCCTGCTTATAAAGTGTTAACAGTCACTGACTGCATCACAGTGTTTCTCAATCTTTGATTCCGAGGCCTCCCATTTTCCACGACAATAAACAGACAAAGCTACTTGTTTTCAAACTTTTTTTTCCCTTTACATTTACAGAATGGTGAATTATTTAAATAATTAGATAAAATATCGTATATTGCAGAAGGACCCATGCAAACTATTTTTTAAATGTGCGCTTCATTATTACACCAAAGGAGGGCAGTGTTTCACGGTTTATAGTAATATGATCAAACACCTGTTGCCATGCGCTACAGAACACAGGGAATAATGGATTTATGTGAGCATTCATGTGTTACAGGGATGTAGATATTCCAAAAACAGATCAAACATTTTTTCTTCAAAGCAACCACTGACACATCCTCCTCTTTTACCGTTGTTTTACTTTTTATTTGGACTTCGAGGAAAATGTGTTGGTATCATGTTCAAAGAATTCTCCGTGACAGGTCCTCAGGTGTATAAAGAAAAGTCCATTTGTGAACCCTCCAGATCTCAAGAGCGTGTTTGAAGTCATGAAATATCATGTGATTTTGAATGAAAGGAAATAGTCACATGATAGTCGATAGGCGTAGTCATTGAATCGATATAGACTGTTCTGGTGTTTTTGTTAAAGTTATGGATACTTTCTTTAAAGTTGATTGGTAGTTTTATGATTAGACATGCTGCGTAGCACTCTTCTTGTAGAAAGTCTGGGTTGAGTGTCGGTGAGAGAAAGAAAATCTTTGCTGAGGTGTGAGTTCCCACCTTGAATCTTTTTTCTTTCAGTGCATGGACATTCTCAGCTGACTAATTTATTTTCTGTGAATGTTATCCAAACATTCTACTTTGGTTGTTCTAAAAAAAAAAAGAGACTTAAAAGTTAAAGGGATAGTTCACCCAAAAATGAAAATTCTGTTATTAATTACTCACTGTTCCAAACCCATAAGACCTTCATTCATCTTCGGAACACAAATAAGATATTTTTGATGAAATCCCATCCCAAAGCTCTCTGACCCTCCATAGACAGCAAGGGTACTACCACGGTCAATGCACAGAAACGTAGTAAAGACATCGTTAAAATAGTCAATGTGACATCAGTGATTCAACCATAATTTTATGAAGAAAAATAATACTTTTTGTGCACAAAGAGAACAAAAATATCGACTTTATTCAATGATTTTTCTCTCCTAGGACAGTCCGCCGCCATTATGAAGAGTAGCTTTACCACGACGCATGTGCGTGCATTCCTCTGCTCGTAAACAAGGTGCAGCGCATGCATGTTCTATGTCAGCAGCACCACACTATAATGGCAGCTGACTATTTGTTATTTTTGTTTTCTTTCATCCAAATTTCATCAAATATATCTTAATTTGTGTTCTGAAGATGAACGAATGTCTTACGGGTTTGGAACGACACGAGGGTGAGTAATTTTGGGTGAACTATCCCTTTAAAGCTGGAATACACTACACCAATGTGAACAGATTTTAAAACACTGGGCATCATACACTAACCGACTTTGTAATAGTGACAGAGGAAAAACTGGCCATCATACAGTAAACGACTGAGGATCACACACTACCAGACTTTCAAGTCATTCCGATTACAATGAAACGTGACCATGAAAACAAATTGTGTTCATGGCTCAAAATATCAAACATGTTATCCTCCGACTGGATGAAATCATATTCTGAAGCTAAATAATCGGAGTCTGTTACCATTATACACTATGCGATTTTCTATTAAATGTGTCAACTCCAATCTGCAGAGTGCCTCTGATAGTTGGCAACTTGCAACGTCCTTTCAACTTAATTTTAAACAACATAACATTCTAGGAATTTTTTGGAACATTCCAAGAACATGAAAGCGTTTTCTTAATGTTATTAGAACATTACTTTAAGGACAGCATATTGTTCTTGCAATGTTCATTCAATATGTGCTCTTTTTACCAGTAATTAAGGGCTTGTTTTTATTAGCATTAGCTTTATAGCAAATAATATTAGTAGTGTTCTTGACCAGTCCAGGTTTAATTTTAGGGCTAATATGTACACTCTGAAACTAAAGGCATTTTCAGTGAGTTTTCAAAAGACCTATTTTAAGGGCATTTAAAAAGAAAGCACCAAGTGTCTGTCCATCTCATTCACAATTGACTAGGTCAGAGCACACAACGGTCATGGCAATTCCTCTTCTAACATTTACTTCAGAGAGAATCCTGAGAAGCTCCTTAATCAACCATTTTCTTTCTCTTCTCTTATTATTTCAGTGTTTTAAGTTTAAAGGGGTCATATGATGTTGCTAAAAAGAACATTATTTTGTGTATTTGGTGTAATGAAATGTGTTTATGTGGTTTAAGGTTAAAAAAAACACATTATTTTACACATACTGTACATTATTGTTTCTCCTCTATGCCCCGCCTTTTTGAAACGCGTCGATTTTTACAAAGATCATCGGA